GTCTGTGTGTGTGTGTGTGTGTATGTGTGTCTGTGTGTGTGTCAGGGTCTCCACTTGGCTTCTTTGAGATGGGGTCTCCTGTGTAGCTCAGGCCAGACTAGAGTTGACAGCATAGCCCATCCTGGATTCAAGCTTGTGTTTCTTCCACCTCTGCCTCCTGAGTATGGGGATTATTGGTTTATGTCTTAATTTCTGCCTGCTTATATTCTTCAAAATTCCCCTTTAGTGTTTGTTTTAAACATGCTTATTGCCATAAGACCATAAACTGCAAACTTCCATAAAAGAAGGAAATTAAAAAATATTTCTGGTGCTTGGCATGGTGGCACTCGGGAGGCAGAGGCAGGTGGATCTCTGTGAGATGCAGACTAGCCTGGTCTACATAATCCTAGGCCAGCTGGAGCTACAGGAAGGCCCTGTTTTTTATAATATGTATATATTTTTTCTGATACCTTTCCAAGCCTGTTTTGGAGCTTCCTTTTTTTTGCTTTAACCTTTGGCCTTGCTAATTTGAAAATACCCCAACGCTTTGAAAGAGCGTTACAAGATGATCAAAATGCTTTTTAAAGTTTCCTTTGTAAAGAACAGAGTTAGTTGCTTCTATATCAACCTCCATCTTCATTGGTGCATTGCTGTTTTGCAATCTTGGCAGTAAACCCTAGGTGTATACAGTCACTCCAGGGTGGAAGCAGTTCTGTTATCTGCTTTTGCTCCCTGTGTGAGCTGTTTTTCTTCTGTCCCAACCAGGGACTTCTCTAGCACTCTTTGCTGGGCTGGTGGAGCAGGCAGCAGGAAGCTTGCCTGATTGACAGTGCCCTGTAAATTTATATGCAAATTGCTCTAGGCTCTTGAGATCCTGGAAAGGTTGCAAAGCAAACCAGGAGCATTTTCTCACTGGTATGAACACTTCAGAGACTTTAAAGTCTAGACCACACTGGAAAGGAAGGTGCAGATGCCTTATCCTGGCTTGACAGATTCCTAGCCTTCACACTCACATTGATGCTTGAATGAGAGGATTTTAAGATTCAGAGGAGGTCATTATCACATTTCCACTAGAGAGTTTTGGGACCAGAGCTATAAAAACCTTCTCTTGAATGGATGTGAAGAGCTATGATCTTATCCATTTGAATTGCCTGGAGTTCATTTTCAATTCAATTTACATTTAGAAACTCAAGGATAGTTGACATTGTATAAGGGTTAAGAGAGCATCCATCAGCATTTCCTTCACATCTGGGTTGCCATGGTGGGAGAGAGACGGAAAGGAAAACTTATCAGTGAACAAGCTTGGGCAGGAAGTTTGCCTTGTGTCTTAGTGAGGTGATTTGTTTCTGAAGAGAAAAGGTACACTTTAGCTCAGATTCAGAAAGTTCAGCCCACAGTCTCTGGCCCCCATTTTCACAGATCATCATGGTGGTAAGTATATAATGGAAGAGATTCTTCACTAATATTCATTAATGGTGGAGGATAAGGAGAGACAGAGAAAGAGAGAGAGAGCTACCAGATGCAAGATATCCCCAAGGACCAATCCTTAATAAATTACATCCTCCATCTAGGTCCCACCTCTGTAAGTTTTTAGAACATTACCAAATAGCACCACAAGCTATGGACCACTCCTAACACATAAGCTTTCTGGGGGGATACTTCAAATCCAACCCACAAGTTAATAATAGCAAAGCATATTTCTCTATTCCATCATCCATCTTGGTTTATAAGTAGATTTTTTTTTATTATTCCCCATCCTGGATCTTTATTTATGGTCAAGTTTATCATATTTATCAAAAGTGTTGATTCAAGTTGGGATGGACAATAAGGATGTGGTTCAACATTGCACTTAAAGAAGCTAACAGCTTGAGGTGGTAGTGAACCCACCTGGGCCACTGGACATCAGGTTAGAGGCAATATCCAAGGTGTGCTTGGCCTTCCAAGAGGCAGAGATATCTGTGAGCTGGACTACTTCAAAGAGGCTTTGCGAAAGAGGATGCCTAGGTAGGTTTTAAGAAGTTCCAGGATAAGAAAATAGAATATAATTTTAGATGGTATACATAACTATCCTACCTCATCTTGTAAGTTGAATATGGTGTTTAATAAATGTTAAGTGATAGCATAGGCCGTAAACTTCATAATAACTAAAAAGAATAATATATTGTAGCATGACAATTGAAAGTATTAGCATGGGAAGTAGAAAGCCTGGGTTCAAAACCTGGTTCTTCTGTGGCTAGCCACATACATAAGTTTGGTTCAGCTATGTATTATCCCCCATTTTAGAAATGAGGACCGTAGTACTTTCTACAATATTGAGTTGTGAAGAGATCAACTGTTTAGCTTGATGAAACAGTGTTCATTGTTACTACTACTGCTATTATTCTCACAACCCAGAAGAATTAAGCCCTAAGTGTGAGGGGACTAGAGGACTTTGTTCTTTCCATTTCAGAAGTTCAAATAGTTTGTTTTTTAACCTTTATTGCCAGAGTCACATCAACTCAAGCAGTCCCCAAGGACAACAGTTCCTCCATCCTTGCCCATAGCACCTGGTAGATATTAGGTAGGGGTGTGGTGCCTGTGCTAAGAGAACCCTGTAGGTCTTCTGGGGAATGTTGAAGATGTGGGAAATAGTATCAAATAGAAGTCAGGCAGAACCATGCGAAGGGGCCTAGACCACCTTCTGTGCTCTTGCAGGGTGACCTCCAAAGGACAAACATCCAGCTTGACTTTGGAGATGGAATTGCTGTTTCCTATGCCAACTTTAGCCCTATTGAGGATGGCATCAAGCATGTGTATAAGAGTGCAGGGATCTTCCAGGTGACCGCCTATGCAGAAAACAACCTTGGTTCTGACACAGCTGTCCTCTTCCTACATGTGGTTTGTAAGTAACAATGAGCAGCCCCTCTCTCTCTTTGCTCCCCATTGGCAAATGCTATCCAGAAGCCAGGTTCAGTGTGACTCCTAAAATGATGCAAGTCAGAAGACTGAAATGTGTGTTCATTTATCATTTAGAGTTTTATGATGCTGAAATAGATTATTTATTTATTTATTTAATTTTTGTTTTTTTCTGAGACAGAGTCAGTCGCTCTGTAGCCCCAGCTGTCCTGGAACTCACTGTGTAGACCAGGCTGGCCTTGAACTAACAGAGATCCACCTGCCTCTGCCTCCCCAGTGCTGGCATTAAAGGCGTGCACCACCACGCCCCGCTACAGATTTATTTTTAAAGTTTGGATGACAGTTCTCCAAGTGCCTCCTCTTTTTTAGGCATTCTCAGTTGCACATTTGAATGTGAACATACAGACGCACATGGAGGTAAAACTCCCTTCCCTTTGCTTTGGAGAATCCTGAAAACACAAAAGCAGAAGCTCATCTAGTTTATACTTTTAGGTTCATTTTCATGCTATGAATGAAAACTAAACAGATCAAATGAAACGCTATCTCTGTTGGAAGAGCCAAAGAAGAATTAGAGAGGCAATGTTTAGATTGCCTTCAAGAACGAAGTATGTTTTCAAAAGCAGTTCATACATCCAAGGTTATATCAAATTCATTATATTATAATCACAGTTTTGTGTTGTGCTCAAGTCTGCTTCAGTGACACTGACTGCTGATGGCAGTCACAAAATCAGCCACTAAAATTCTGGACTCTTTTGTTTATTCTGGATGCTTTTGTGTGAACTAGCTGTCCTGAGACTTGACTCATGTTAACTGAAACATAAATACTATTGTTCTGAATGGTAGGTCAAGAAAATGTTTTTATAAGGCTGACACTGATTTCCCATACATTATCAGCAATACTCATGGATTCCAAGATTTCTATACTCTCTTTATTTGCAGAAGCCTTTCCCTGATTCATAAGGAAAGAGTTCCATAATCCAATAGACTCTTAAAACCACAAGAAGCACCAAATTCTGTATATACTACTTTTTCTCATGCAAATGCGAATGTGCAGGTAGTATAAATATCATGTGCAGGTAGGATAAATATCATGGATACACTGAAGGAAAGCATAATGCATGTCCTGGCTAGGACAGACAGCCATACCGTGAGAGTTCATCATTCTACTCAGAATGATATGCTGTTGAAAACAGGATTTTATGTTAACTTTTGTAATTTTCCATTTAATAACTTCAGACAGGTTTTGGCTGTGAGTTAACTGAAACTACCCCATGTAAAACCGGATGAGCAGAAACAACTGTCAATCCCATAATGGTTTTCTAGTAATATGTCACAGAGAGTGAAAATTGCATGTTTTCAGAGAGTTGAAGCAAATACCAGAAACCATGTTCCTATTAATAACTCAACGATTCTATAAACTCCTGTATATAAATAGTCCATACCTGAGGTCTTTGGCAAACAGTGAGAGATTTTGTCTTCTAGTGCCAGGAACAACAGAGGTAGATATAGAAATGTAAAAGGAGAAACCTATATGTGGTTCAATGATGTCCCTACCATGCCAGTCTATAATACGTAATCTCGTGATTAATTCCAATTTACAAATTGGATTATTTCTAAGTATTTCTTTGCGTCACAGGGATAAGGTGCCATTAAAATAACTACACATGAAACAACCAACCACTTACTAATATTTTCAGCAGATATTTGTTAAGTTTTTAATAGGATTTTATCGGGCATTTATAGAGTCAATAGTGGAGGTGTGGTCTCCCTCTTGTGTTGTTTCGTTCTATTTAAGAAGGGGAAGTGCTTCAAAAACTGAGTCATAAAAAGGAAAATGGTGATGATTCATATACACCCACTGAGTTCATTTTCTGCTGAAAGCATCAGATCAGCAGCCCATATGAGTGGTGTAAAAGTTACTCATGAGCCCAGGCTTTAGATTATTTGAACTCTGATCAAGACTTTAAAAAATGTCTAATATTGCACAACTTTCTTAGCCCCTAAAATATTTGAATTCCTCATCATTAATTCAGCTTATAAGGAGACTATAGGAATCAAATTGGATAATATACATGCTAGGGAGTTCCCAAGTCCCCCCTAGCAATTGTTAGTTACTGGAAGGACTCAGAGAAGTCAGCATGTAACTTCATCCTTGGCTATGGTCTGCCCCTGAGAAAAGATTCAAGGTAAAATTAACAAAAGGAAAAACAGCTTGGCCTTGGGAGACGGCCTGTTAGGCAAGCATGAGATCCTAAATTCAGATTCCTAAGACCCTCATCATGCCAGGGGCCATGTTACACATCTGTAACCCTAGCACTGGGCAGTGTGTGTGCTTGTAGGGGTTGGGGGAGGAGACAGGTGAATCTCTGGAAGTAACTGGCCAGTTAGTCTAACCAATGAGTGAAAAGTTCAGTGAGAGATTTTGTCTTAAAATAATAAGATAGAGGGCAATTGAAGAAGGCACCGATGTCGTATTCTGGCTTACAGGCATACATGCACACACATATACCTGCATGTACATGTGCCCACAGCAACACAAGCACATACATAAACCACACACACATACAAATCACCATAGAGTCATACAAGATGTGTTGATTGTTCTACTAATAAGTGGTGACAACATAGGAGCCGTCTCCCAGAGAAATGTACTAGAGACTTGGTGTCCATAGCTTGCAGTGGTGGGCTGGTCTCATGGTTACTTTCTGTCTTGCATGTACTATACCTCCGGACTCTCAGAAGAAAGCAGGTGTTCTGAATAAACCGTATTGTTTTTAAGAGACCCACTCTTACCAGCTAACTCTTGATCAGGATCACCAGGTTCCCAGATACCAGTCCAAGGCCAATCTTGAACATCTTTAGGCACATGTTAACATTCATCTGCACCATGGGCAGAGTGCTGCTTCACACCCAGTTTGGCACATGATAAATGTTACCTGTTGTTGTAGTAATTACTAATACATCCTATTAACTCTGCCTAACATATCTGCTGCAATGAAAAATGAAGACAAAGAAAGGGAAATAACTTTACGTTCCTCAGTTCTGAGCCATGTTGTGGATACGGCCAAGATTGGGCCTTGTTTGCAGGTAGGAAGACCAATGTGTCTTAACCCCCTGCCCCCCCACAGAGAGAGAGAGAGAGAGAGAGAGAGACAGAGACAGAGACAGAGAGCCAGAAACAGGTTTATACTGTGGGTTATGTGCACGAAGGAGGAAATGTTCCTTGAAACTTTTATTGTGCTCATAATTCCCTTCAAATCAATCATGGCTGCATTTACCAGACAGTCAGTACAGTGGAAACTGCTCTTGGCTTCACCTTGGGCCATTAGCTAACAAAAGTAGTTGTTAGCCACCCATAATAACCAATTTCACACAGATTATCGGACTTTTATCAAAGAGGCACTGTATGACAGTGAGGTTTTCAGAGTTTGTGGCGTTCATTCCCAAATCCCTTCAACTCTCTTTCTCTTCTCACTGAATCTTGGTCTGTCTCCACATTAAAGCTTAGATCTTCATCCTAAAAACTTATTCCAATGTATTATTTCATACAATTATTTTTAAGCTTATCTAGAAACTGGAATAAATGGAACCACAGAAATTCCATCCCTTTTATGTTTGGCATGAGCTAAAAGAAAAGGAAGTCCTTTTATTGCTTTGGGTGTCATAGTCATAGAACTCCACACCATCAGCCTCAGCTCAGGCAAGACCCCAAATGACAGAAGGTAAAAAGGAATTTTTAGGGTTGCAGTCATTGTACAATTTGACTTAACTATGAGGTGCCTAACATTCCCTTAGGCAGTGTGGGGAAGGGCTTCCTCCCATTTGGGAGACAGTAGTGAGAAGAGAAGCAGTGATTTCCAGGGCCAGTGACGCCTTTTTCCTACAGGGTAGGAATGGAAGGTCCCAACCCAGGCCTGGAGACTCCCCAGTGTTAACAAAGGTGATCACACTTCTCTCCCTTCTGGGTCCGCCTTCCTGAAGTCTCTGTTTTCCTTCATTGATCAGATAAACACAAATAATTAAGGGGTAGTCATGAAGTTAACCCCTAAAAATCAGTAAATAGAGCAAAGAAGAAGTTGCCAATTTTTTCTCCCACCTTATTCTTTTTTTTGCTGACATCAAGCAGACCATGTAAAAATAATACAGATTCTCATCTACATAGTGACTTCCAGGACAGCTGAAACTACAGGGAGACCCTGTCTCAAAAAGACCAAATAATAATAATAATAATAATAATAATAATAGAAGGTAAAGAGATGGCTCATTGGTTAAGAGTAAGTGCTCTTGCAGAGACCCTTGGTTCAGTTCCCAACTCCCACATGGCAGTTCATAATAATAATAATAATAATACAGATTCTCATTTAAAATAATTAAATCATCAGTCAAATGTGTATAAAGTGCCAAAGTTGAATTTATTTGCTGGGAAAAAATAGTGAGGTGCCATATGGCTGGAGTTAGGGCAGAGAGCTATAGATAGAAAGTATTTTCAGGTTCTAGATGCACAGATTCATTTCAGTTTTTTCCTTCAGTATATTTTTTAACTAATGGAAAATATGTAAGATTTTGTGTACAACATGATGTTTTAATATACATATATGCATTTAGAATGACTCAGTTGGGCTAATTATCATTGGCATTGTGTCTCTGCTTATATTTTTGTGGTGAGAACACTTAACATTTATATATTTAGTGATTTTTCCTAATGTACTATGTAATTCACTGTACCTTTCACCATGGTACAATAGATTTCTTGAATTTATTCTTGTCTTATTTATATTTCATATCATTGATAAGCATCTATTCCACCCAACTCTGCCATCTCCTGACAACCACCGTTCTACTGCTTGCTCCCGTGAGCACAACTATTTCAGATTCTGCATCTAAGTGAGATCCTGTGGTAGCAGTGGCCATCATTCTGTGCCTGGCATATTTCCCCTAACACAGCATCTTCTAGGCCCATCGATGTTGTCACAAATGACAGGAAGAAAAAAATCTCACAGGGTTTAAAAAATAACCTCACAAATGCAACACTGATACACAAATGATTCTCCCACAGCATTTTCCTCTCCCTGTTATTTGGGAAATGATGTAATAAGCAACCTGACTTATGTCTTGGCTGTATTCAAAGATGTTCCTTAACTTGCTATGTTCATGGATATTCCTTTCCTGGTTGGTATAGAGCTCAATGCTCTTTACATCAGTTTTCTGAAAAAAAGGCAAAGCAGCATTGTTATTATTTGGGAACCTGACGTTTGCTTCTCAATTTAGGTGGCTGTGTTCTTCCCCTTTAGTAAAATGACCTTGCCAGTCTCTGAGCTACACTCACTGTGTCCTCCAGATGATGAGGCACAATGGCCAGTTGTCAAAGAGGATGGAATCCAATTAGCAAATGTCGATAACGGAAGAGATTGCATACAATGTACTGACCCCAAGTCACAAAATGGGCTAATCCTTAAAAATGAATCAGACTGCTGTTTATCTTCTGACTCAGTGGCTAAGTGTAAACTAGATTTATCCTTGGACTGGAGGTTCATAAATATTCATTGTAGGTAGATCAGATATAAATTAGGTTCAACTATCACTCAAGAAATCTGAGGTCTGATTTAAGTTCCCTGTTAAACCTGATGCTTCATTTAAAGTGAGCATGCACACTACACACACACACACACACACACACACACACACACACACATACATCACATAATACACAGCATTTGTGAATTTGTGGTCATTGCTTTATTACAGGGAAGGTAGTGAGAATGAAGATTAAAAATCAAGGATGTGATAACGTTTGGTGTTTTTCTGGTAATATGAACACTGACTTTCCTCCCCTGTGCCTTTAGGTCCTGTGGAGCACGTTCACCTCCGCATTCCATTTGTTGCCATCAAAAATAAAGAGGTCAACATCAGTGCAGTCGTGTGGCCCAGTCAACTGGGGACCCTTACCTACTTCTGGTGGTTTGGCAATAGCACAAAGGTTTGGCTCTTTTCTCATGAGTATCAAATTTAATCTAGATTTCCATATTTCCACTTCTAGATTGTTTTGTAGGAACTGGATATGCAGCAAAAAATTGGTACATTAGGATCTAAGATCCCACAGAGTTGAACAAAACATGCCTTCTGCAGTCGGTTCTCTGTCTTAATAAAGAAACGTTAAGTAATTGTAAGAAAGAAGGAATACTTTGAGAAACTAAATTTGCAGCTTTTGTTCCTCTAATCAACATTTCTAAAGATTCATTGACTCCAGTTTCTTTTAATCCTGGCCTTTCTACTCATGAGCTGCATAGCGTCAAGGGCATTATTTGGAAGCTTCTGAGCTTGAGAGGTGAAATCTATCAAATGGAAGCTAGGAACCGAGTTGTAAATGGTGGGAATTAAGTGGAATGACATAAGCAATCATCTTCTATACTGGTTGGGCATTCTACAAACCCAAGTGGACTCATCAAGGTCCTGATATTGCTGTGCCATAAGAGTAAACAGCTAAAAGGATGGATCACTGGACCTTTTAGAAATGCCCTACTCCCAGATCCTGTTGATTGAAGATGCCTGTGTCAAAGTGACCATAACTGAATCTGTCAACTGACACTCTGAAGAATTAGGTTGAAGGATTCTTATCTTAATATTTTTCTTGTTCTTCTTCACTATTTTTTTTTAAAACTCAACTCAAAATACTTTTAAAAAAGTTTTTATTACATTTCTTTATTTATAAGGGGTGGAATGCCTGTGTCAGAGGACAAATTTTAGAAGTCTCTTCTTCCATCTTGTGGTGCCAGGAATTGAGCTCACATCATCAGGTACCAAAGTACCATTACCGGATGAGCCATTTCATGGGCACTAAACTCAAAAATTTAAAGAGTATTAAGTTCACAGCAAAATTGAGAGGAAGTGCAGAGATTTCCTACATGTGCCCTGCCCCCACCACAGTATAGCCTTCCTCTTTACTAACACTCCTTACCAAAATAATGCAGTTTCTATAGTTCCTGAACTTAAAGACACACTGTTATCACCCAGAATACAGAGTTTACATTAGGGTACATCCTTTGGGTTTGGAGAAATATATAATGGCATATATCTACCATTATTATAAGAAACAAAATAATTTCATAAGAATATCTGTGCTTACAATCCCCCCTGCCGCCCCTGCAAATCTCTGCTATTACTGTAACATTTCTACTGTCTCTATAGTTTTCCTTTTCAGAACATCATATATTTGGAATCATATATTTTCCTTTACAGGTTGCCTTTTTTTTCTTGTATTAGCATGCATTCCAATTGCCTCTATGTCTTGTCAAGGCCTTATGGCTTCTTTCTCTTTTAAAGATTTATTTTTCATTTTCTGTGTATGAGTAATTGCCTCCATGTATGTATGTGCACCATATGTATGCCTGGTGCCTATGGAGGCCAGAAAAGGGCATTAGATCCCCTGGAAATGGAGTTACAGATGGTTGTGAGCCACTATGCAGGTGCTGGGAACTGCACCTGGGTCATCTGCAAGAGCAGCTAATGCTCTTAACGTCTGAGCCTTCTTGTAACACCTGAGCATTTCTTTTGATTGATGAATAGTATTTCATCATCTAGATAGAACACACCCATCCATTCTCCCACTGCAGGACACTTTGGATGCTTTCTACTTTTGACAATTATGGATAGAGTTACTATAAACTATGTTGTACAAGTTTTTGTGTAGATGTAAGTTTTTCACCCATTTGAATAAAAGCCAAAAGAATGATTGCTGGACATGCAGCAGTAGCTGAGTACAATACTTCATTTTTAGTAGTATTAATACAAATCGTTTTCTGTTTTTAATTCAAATTCCACTTGTCTATTTCTGGTATGCAGGAAAGTAGTTGACTTCTGAATATTCATTCTGTATCATGAAACCTGGCAGTAATCAATAAAGAGGTTCCAAGGGATTATTTGTTTGAAATATTTTTCAAATAAAAAATGTTGAGAATTGTCATAATTTCTTTTTTTAAATATTTTGGGAATTCACCAGTAAAACTATCTGGATATTGTGCTTTCTGTTTTGCAAGATCATTAATTACTGATTCAATTTCTTTAAAGGTGCTAGCTTATTTGGATTTTAAGTTTCTTCTTGTATGAATTTTGACAGATTGTACCTTCCAAGAATTGATCCATTTTAACTAAACTATCAGATTTACAGATACAAAATTGCTCATTGCATTGGTTTGTTGTACTTGTGTTGTCCATGCGATCTGCCATGTGACTCTCTCAATGATTTGGAATATTGACAATTTGAGTATTCCCATTTATTCTTAAAATGGATATAGACTTATTATTTTTATTGGTCTTTTCAAAGAGCCAGGTTTTAATTTCATTACTTTTCCTAATTGATGTCCTGATTTTATTTCATTGATTTTTTTTTCTAATTGCATTATTTTTCCTCTGGTTACTTTTGTTTTAATTTGTCCTTTTTTTAAAATCTGCTTTCTAAGGTAGAAGCTTAGGTGATTGCAGGAGCTTCTTTTTTTCTAATAAATGAATTCAGTGCTACAGAATTCCTACCAGGCACTGCTTTTACAGTACCCTACATATATATAT